TTAGAGCTGAAGAATACACTCAGCACCCTCCCTTCAGCCTCAATGGACAGAGCAATCAATCCCCTTCAGGTAGCACAACAGCTTGAATTAATGGCATCCCTTGTCCCAGGCAGGCTCAGATGCCAAGACTCAAGCAGATGCTAAACCCTTGTGCCCAGGGCTCCCCAGGGGCTGTGGAAGGGCCAGCTCTCTGCAGTGGCATCGGGGTGAGACCTCAGGAGCCAGCAGGACACACTGGTCCCAGTTTCTTGGTCTGCTCACCACAGCCACTGGCCCCAGCTGCTTCAGGCAAGAACTGACCCTCTCCCTGCAGGGTGAGTTTGCAGCACATCAGCTTCTGGAATCAGGTTATTTGGGCCTGCAAGAATACAGATGCCAGAGCAAGAGAGAGGGGAAGGAAGGATAGGTTCTCCTTGCTCAGCGTTTGTCTAAGTGGGCTCTGGGAAACACGAAGGAGCCTCTTTCCTTGACTGGTATCTTGCTACAAATCTCCGACAGCATGGTGTGCCCAGTGTATTCAGCCTTAAACAGGTCTGTGTTTGACTGCAGACAAGGGAAACCTACAAAACAGCTATTATCATCCTCATGCAAAATAAAATCTTACTAGGAGATCAAACAACTGTATCACAGATTTAGACATAATAGAGACTTTCAGCTAAGAAACTGTTTGTGGCCTTCCCTTTTCTCTTGCTCAGTGACACAGGAGCTCATGAATATTATCTGTAAAAAGGCTGAGTTTTATTGCCTTGTGTATTACATTCATTTAATGAAGGGCTAAATGTTCTTCACTAATTTCTTTTCCTGACATGGTAGAAACATATCTTCAAGACAAGAAGAGAACACGGATGACCACATGGCAGCTAGCAACCCTCCAGGCTTCACATCAGCCACTGGGAAGTCTCTGATGCCTGATACTCTTCTGACCACAGAACCTGGTTTGATGCCAGCCCTGTGTTTGGCTCAGTACGTGACCAGCAAGCTGCAGAGGAGCCAGAGATCCTACTGGGAGTGCTGTGGGATGTGAGCTGATGTGGGTGTCTGTGTGGTCCCAGGCCTGGGCTGTCTCTGACCTTACCAGCCCTTGTAAACAAGAAGTAGCTTTTGACAGCTGCTACAGGGACTGGGCACACAGGGGCACAGAGAAAGAGAACACTGGGCAGTAGGGAGGACTGAGCAAAGGGGCTTTGTACGGCACAAAAGGGAAGAGGGTGGTGACATGAGGATTTTGATGACAATGTTGGCAACTGTAGAAGAAGGCAAGGAAGTATGGCCATGGGAAAGAGACCTGAAGCCCTGATACTAGAAAAGTCCTTATTCTGAGTCAGCATTAAACACAAGTCCACAGAAAACCCCCTTGCTATTCAAAGGTCAATGAACAAGCACTGCAATCTTTAAAATCAAGCCATATAGATAACTGTTCTATGAAAAGTGCTAAATATAATAATTCCTATCCAAAATATGCAATTTCATTTCATTACACAGAAAGAAACCTTAAAGCCTATCTCTAGTAACTGTGAGACAAAGAAATGCAGCTTCTACAAGCCCACACAGGAGCTGACTAGTGAGAGCAAGAGTAAGCCATCTACCTGTGCCATTTAGATTCTTCTACAGAATCCTTTCCTTCAATAAACTTAATTGCTGATCAGATCTAGGAACTGCAAAAGATAGAATTTATTATATTTCTGCTGTTTATAGTGATGGTACTCTAGGTTCTCATAGCTAGATTTCCAAATTTCTGTTTAGATTTTTTTAAAACTATGAATTTGAAAAAGTAATTTGGAAATTAAAATCAGAATAAATCTATCTTATTCATTCAAAAAAGTAAAAAAAAAAAGAAAAAGAATCTAAGGAAAGATCAGGCTTCAAATACTTAACATTTGTATTCATGTATTATGCCTTGAATAAATGACAAATATTTATTTACAAAAATGTATTTTGCAGTATTTCCATAACAAATCTGAGGAAAAGACTCTTAATTGTCCTAGTTTTGGTAAGCCCTATATTTTATCTTTTCAGCTTATTGACCTCAGTGGGCCAAATAAGCACCACTCATTGTGTGGAGGCATATCCATTTTAGCAGTACTTTCAAACAGAAGTAATGCAAACGATTAATGCAATTGCTGACTAATGCAGCACTGATCAAAAACGCTCGAATATTTAAGAATATATAAGAACACACATGAGATGGTAAAAAAAGCCCCTTAAATTATTCTTATTTTCCAAACAGGAATGTTTTCCAGACAGCACAACGTGCACGGTATCTTATGGACACATGCAGAGCAAAACTCTATCTTTGAAACTGCACAAAGGTGTATTTTGAGATCTCTCAGTCTGATGGGATGATTCGAAGGCCAGACTGTGACTTGGCTTTTTTATCCCCCAGGAAGGAGAGCGCAGGCTCCCTGAGAACACACCACGGGCTGTATCAGACTGGATCATCCTGACCGCAGCAGTTCAAGTGAGCAGGCCCCATTGTCCATAAATTACCTGCCTCCTTAGCTGGGTGATGGACATGCAAGCAGCACGCTAGGTGAACACCTCAGCAAGTGCTGTGTGACACTGAACTGAAATCCTGCCTGGCATGTCATGAACGCTAGTTTGTTAAACTCCTTAGATAGCAAAATAAGGGAAAAATGTCATTTCAAGTAGAATAATTGAGTATATTTCATGGTGTGGGCAACAGACATGGATGGCAATCTGCTAGAATATGCTAATGCCCTGTGTAAAAAGTCAATGGCAAGACCTGGTTTTGGTGGGACTAAAAAGCCCAGGAAGGATAAATGCTGTTTAAACTAATGTTTTAAACTGCTAGTTTGCAGAAACATACATGGACAGCATCTCTACACTGTTAACATTGCAGCAAAATATACACTGTAAGAATCAAAGTTATTTTTCTTTTAAAACTGCATGTTAGACCTCTTGCTGCTAAGTAAATACCCCAGCATAATTTACAGCATACTTCTGGTCTTGGGTGTGCAGGAACAGCACCTATTCTCTGAAAAACATGCTCCTGTGCATGCATGTGCAGGCTTCCCAGCAGTTTCTCAAGCAAGGGAAGTGTTTTCCTCTGCTCCACCCATCACATAGCAGAGCTGAAGAAAGACCCATGTTTTTTTAACTCCCTACTCTCTTCTTATCAAATCGTTTGTTTTTCAGCTAGAAAGGATACATTCAGATTTATTAATACACCCTCGCAGTATGAAAGCAAAAAAAAAAAAAAACCAAACACAACTGGCAACATGTTTAAGGCAACCTGGGTTCATTTATTCTATTTCCTCTTACTGTTTCTTTATATACAGTAGAAGGGGTGTTTATCCACTAAAAGAATGTCAGAAATACCAATTACTCATATATTGTTTCCATTTCCCTAAACTAGAACTTAAGGATTTCTAATTTCAGACTAGAAATACCTTTCCTATATTGAAATACTTCAATATACTTCAAGATAAAGGAAAAAAACAACATTTATATTTAATTCTATAATGTAGTTGGTTTTATATTCTTAAGTGCTGGTTTTACTTCAAGTTACAGTAGGCTATTACAAAATTAATGCCAGAACTGATTTGATTTCTGCACCATAAACTGACTTGTTTTTCTTCTGTCATAAGCTGTGCCTAGCTTGTTATAAAATATGTGCTGTCACACTTAAGTTCTCAGTATTTGATTAATATTAGTCCAAGAAGGTAACTGAATCACAAAATTCTCTCCTAGTCCTTGTGGGATCACTTATTTGAATGAATATACACTAAATATTTTTGTAGGAGGGCAGATAAGCAATGTTGTTTAGGTAATACTATTATTCCCCAGTGGCTTCACACTTGTGGTAGAAAAACAGATTCAAACAAGCACTACAGTGTTACTGAGGTTACAAATGACCTGGAAAAATACAGTTTCTATGGATATCATTTAATGAATACAAGACTTGCATATCACACATCTAATAAAGTGTTTTGTTTATTTCTTTGCATATATAAGGTACTCTCTCTGTATTCAGCAGACCTTGCAATTCTTTTATACCACAGAATTTTTAAATACTAGTCTTCTATGCAGACATTATTAAATAATAGATAGTAGGATGATCACAACATTATTTCACATAGCCAAGTTGGATTTTTCCAGAGACATTGTGTTCTATCTCTTAAAAACATTAAAATACGGAGATTCAGCACTGTTAATAAAAGCTTCTACAGAGAAGGAATATACTGTTCATGTACTTTAACTTGCAAAGCAAAATTCTGCCACTGTTATCGCATCACCTTACCTAAATCTGAATATACTTCCAAGCACTAAATTTTATTCATACATCTTCATTACATAATATTGCTAAAACATCTATAGAGTAATTGATTTTCAAAAGCAATGGAAATCAGGAACAGCAGTACTGAAAAGACTAAGGCAGACTAAAATGCTATTTGTTTACATTCTGCAAAACCCAGCCTGGATCAGATAAACAGATGGATTCTTTCTGGCTGGAAATATTGCATAAGACTCTGAAATTAAGCATAGAGGGTGGGAAGTGCAGCTATAAGCAACTGATGTGTTGCTTCCCATCACACCAAAATGACTTTCAGACCTGAAGTAGAATAACTATATTTTGTCCTCTGTGCACAATTAATAAAAACCAACTTCTGAGCAATGCCACACCCTTGTGATTAAACATCATTTAAAAAAATATTTAGACAAAGTCTGAACAAATCAAACAAACATGTAGGCAGGAAATGCTTTTTGGAATGCACTCCCTGCAATGTAGTGCTAGACCCAGAAAGCAGCCTAACTTCAGAATTCAATCAAGCAAAATCTGGTATAATCTCATTACAGCCTTTGCAGTTAATGAAACCTATTTAAATCCCTGACATTTTGATTTTTAGAGCTGACAAAAGCAAAAATTACTTGGTCTATATAACACAAACATACAGAAAGGTAAGATTCTATCCTTTAGGTTATCCTAGCTATTTACCAAGCAATGCGTAATATAAAAAGATTACTCTTCTGCTACTCACTATTGCTCCAGGATTTCAGTAAATATTTGATACTGATTTCAAAGAAGCCTGAATCCTGCTGGCTAGCCATGTCTGCAGCATACAAAGAGGCTTCTATAATTCTGAGCAGCTGAAGTGGCAGGTACTATGTATGTAGATGTGACTGTCACCAGTCAGTGATGTAAACGAGGGGTCAGAGGAGGAAATGAAGTCTCCGCAGATCCACTTCTTCCGTTCATGGTAGGTAAGCTCATTAAAAAAAAAATAAAAAAAGCTCAACAACAACAACAACAAAAGCACACCGTGAGATTTTTGTCCTTTGCTTTTCCTTCGGGGCTTGTTCTTAATTCAATGTGAAGAGTATTTTATTCCCTCACCCCCTCAGTACTCAGTATTTTCATTTATTCCATTCCGCAACCGGGCAAATTTCTTCTGGTCGCTTCAGGCATATGCAGCACCACAGCACTTGTTCCATAGGCACAGTTAGAGTATCTTCCCGAAGGGTGTCTGAGCCGTGCTTTTAACAAGGCGCAGTCTGCCTGTCTGGAGCTGTTTTCCCATCAGAAGCTGCCAGCCCGAGCGAACGCGCCTCCTCTCGCCAAGCGAGGATCAACTCGAAGCCCCACTGAAAGCGTCTCTTCTGCAGCTGCAGGAATCTCACACGTACTGCTCAGCTTCAGGGGGAAAAAAGGCACCCTCTAATGAACATCCTCTGCCTGCTCTGGTCAGCTGCTCTCCTTCCGCCTGTTTCCAAGAAGAGCACGCTGAACTACACACAACTGCATCATGCTGCGGTAAAGCGGAGCTGCACCCATATATCTGATTGCAGTGACGCTGGCAAGGAAAAAAGGCTCTCCCTCAGCCCAGTTGCACAAGAGAAGCGCTTCCAGAGCACTGAACCCACGGCATTCAGTCTGGCTGCTTCTGCTTTTCTTTCACTGCTACAGAAAAACGTGTTGACATTTTTTTCCTGACACTTTTTCCGCCCCCCCCCCCCCCTTAACAAAGATGAGAGACAGCAAGCTGAATGCATAATGGCAAATAAGCCAGGGAGCTCACTGCTTTGGATTCACCTCTGAAAGAGCCACAGAAAACTCAGTTTCATATAATTTTTATCTTGAATAATGGTTTCTAAAAAGGAACTGAATTCACGTAAGAAAAAAGAGGCAGAAGCAATTCACTGCTTGTTAATCTCTGTGTTTTCTACAAAATACTTAATTGCTAGGTACAATTTCCATCTTCCTAAGGTTTTATTTCATATAATCACACTACATCACTATGCATATTTTAATGGTAATGAAGAAAAATAAGAATCAGTTTCCAAAGTACTTTTTGTTTCACATATTCTTGGTATCACCCCTCCAGATATTATTTCCTGGGAATAACAGTACTCTTTTTTTCTCATTTAGTGAAATAAATTTCCTGCAGCATTTCATAATTATAGTATCTGAGACAAAATAGAGCTTGTCTGCTGCTGATCCTTCTAATAACTTTGTCAGCAATTATATTTGCACGTTACATTTAGTTTCAGTATGTGGAATATTTAATGTTTGGATTGGAAACTGAGGAACACACGGGTCACTGAGACCAAGCTCCTGTGGTTCTCTCTGAAAATATGCTAAATGTCTTCTGCAAACATACCTCATCTAGAGATAAGGTTTTGTGTCCTCAGTAATGACAGGCTGTTGTTTAAATTCACTTTGTAAACCTTCTTTCAGTTCCTGAAAGAACTCCACACAAAACCTGTTTGTACCCTTTCGTGGCCATGAACAGCCAGAAATGTTCAGAGTATCTCAGGTTTGATCTCCCCAGCCATGTCAATGAGAGCTGATCAGCTCTTCCTCTCTGTGCTGTTAATTATCATCCCATTGCTGTCACTCTGCATCCCCAATTTATATTGAGACCCTGCTGTCCCATTTGTACACCTTCTCCCCTACCCTTCCATTGACAAAGCCTCCTCTTTGTGTCATCCTGTTTTAGCCAGCACAATCCAGCGTTTTACAATTAAAGTGAAATTTAACACAAAATAAGGGAAGTTCCAAGATCTAGGACTGATGACTTCCTACCATCCCACTAATTGATTTTTCATCAGACAGAATGCCAAGTAGGTTTGGAAGTTCTTATTCACTCTCACAAATACTGCATTAATTCCTATATTCAAGGATTTAAGTAATAATTTCCCATGGTGCTATATCACATGCTTTTCTGGAGATGACTGATACATTAATTTTATTGTAACTCTCTTGTTGAAAATAAAAACAGGAGGTTAATTTTCAAGTAGTTGTGTTTCCTAAATCTGGATTAGATTTTGTCCAATTTTAAATCAAATCCACACCTTTAAAAATAATCTCCCACCAAATTTTGTTTCAGTCTTGAGTATCAAGCAGTCTCTCTGTTGATGCAGATTGTTTTCCCCCCGACAAATCTGTGGTTTATATTTACAGGGCAGAATCTCCCTTTAGATATGCTGAGCAGAAAATGTTATTACCCGAGCTCCAACATCATATGCCTGCTCTTTCTTGAGTGAATGGGAAGTTACCTGGTTTTTGTAATGTGAATTTGAAGATTTTTGATGGTTTTTTTTACACATCACAATAGATTGTTTTTGTTTGGTTTGCATTACTCCTCCTACCCCTGTTCTTCTAAAAGGCAAAATGCAAACTAAAGGCAAAAGCACTCACGCAGTTAGTAGTCAAATCTTCTTACTCCACCTCTCAACCTCACTGGATACTGGACTCTTTAAAAATCAATGTTCTTGTTTTGAAGTTTTAAAGGAGTAAGGATGTTTAACTGTTTGCTTTTTATTCCTTCACTGAGTTTTACTCAGCTCATCTTTTGTCATCTTTTGACTGCTGCTGTCAGGAGAACACCAGCTGACAGGGCTGACCTGTTAGCTCCATGGGATGCTCCTGCGGGTCCCATGTGTCCCTCACAGACAGAATGAAAAGTTCAAGGTTTTGTCGGTTGGTTGGTTTTGGTGCTTTCAAGTAAAAGAAATTTCAGACATCCCACACAGGCAGTTTTCTTAACTGCCACTATCCAGCCCCTTTTTATTTCTCAAGTTTGTATTTTCAATATGCAGATCTGTCCTTGCTTACTTTGAGTCCGCTTGTATGAACAGGATCCAGTAACGTTCCTGCCACTTGGTCTTCACCAGTTATTAAGTCTAACCAGTCTAACAGTTTTTTCTTGACTTTGTGGTCATTTGGTGAAGAAATGAATGGATGCATACAAGGACACCTGGATGTGCTTCCTTGTGGAGTAACATAAAAAAGGCCACAGCTACGTTCAGCTGTCTGGCTGGAGCGGCAGAACCCCAGCACCTTTTTCTCTGACTTTCTCCAAAGTGATATGGAGCCAAAGTAATCCACTTTCATGTATAGTAGCTCTTTTAAAAGCATTGCATCACAACATTACTGCAGAATCTCACTGCTCTCACCATTTAGTATTCTTTCTGAAGAACACGTCTACCTATTGTGTGCTTCCACTGACAGTAGGATGCTGTACTAAATGAATATATTGTGACAAAGCATATTAAGGAAAAATGCCACCACTTTTAAGTCTATATTTTTGGCATGATATGAATGAGTTCATACAGAATGGCAGTTGTTAAGATTTACTTCAGGTTTGATACTCCTCCATTATTGGTTCTGTTTTCAAAAGTATCACCCATAACATAAATGCCTCAGAATTTAACTTTTGTTCTAACAGCTTCTTTAAAATTTAAATTAATTTATAATCACCAATATAATCAATTAAAATCTTACTTATTTCTATCATTAGTCATAAAATATTTTTGACTAAATTAATTTTAAATATCTGCAAGTCTAGATTTGCAAGTAAGACATCTTCCATACATAAAGATTTTACCCATATTTTGGAAACACTCCTAAAACAGGAACAACACAATGAAATGGCAGAAACACCAGCACTCTAATTTAGTGTTCTGAACTTATTTTTGGTGGGCTCACAAGACTACAAAATTTTGAAGTTACATAGCTTCCACTTTCGTTTTTGTTTACTTTGCGATATTTACGATTTAATTACATATCCCGGGCTGTGAAAGATAGACAGGCGTGAGCATATAAAATCTGTCAGTGGAAGTGAACTGCCTGATGAGGACTATTACAGACATATATTTACAAGTATTGTGGGCTCCTTCTTTATGATGTTATGACATGGGAATTGACAATAACAGTCACTTTTTTTTTCACCATACGAAACCATAGATTCAAAATGTAAGGTTTTTCATGTGTCTGCCACAATGATTACCTGCTGTTTACCATAAGTTTAACCATTGTTTAAACTATAAACATTTGTGTTTAATTCACACTCCGCTTTGTGACACACTGAGCACCTTCTGTTCTCTCACTGTTTTCTGAGATCAGAGGTAACAAATATCCAGGAACCTTGGTTGCCTGGATAATTCACTTCCCAGTCTGAGCAGAGTCTGGAGCTGTGGAGTTTCCATGCCCCAACTTTGGGAAAAAGAAGCTGGGAGATGTTGTTCTGTTCACCAACATGGTCAGAAGTGCTCTTGTGAGCAGAATGCTGCATGAACAGCTATTGTCACTGCAAAACATCTGAAAAACAGATTTCCAAAGTTTTCACTCAGTGAAGGAACAAGAATAACAAAACCACATACTGCTGGAGGTATTCACAATATCTATCTTGAGGAATCCAGCTCAGATGCCTACATTGGGAGGTGAGTGCCTTCAGCATGACACAATAGTTCCAAAGAGTTCCAGTAAAGAGCACAATTATTTGTTCAAAGCAGCCTGTTTCTCCTCACTGTATACATGATACTTAGGGTAACTACTTTTGTAAACTGGATTTTTAGATTCTTAATATTTAGTAGCATAGGTACCAATTTTGTTTACAGTTTTAGTGACTACTGTTTATTACAGTCATTCAGGAAGTTTAGTCCTCTATGTTTTCAGCAATGCTTGCAGGAATCCTTAAAAAAGCACAAGGAGATTTGAATATAGCACAGTCTTGCACAATCTTCTAGGGCTCATTTTAGCTTGGTATGAAAGGGGCTATGTGGATTTTGCAATCTTAACTCTTCAGAATCTGAGGCTAAATGCGAAGAGCAGCCGAAAGCCTTAAAGGGATGACAACAGTAACAAAGCAAATACAGATTCAGATTTTGCCTTTCAAGCAGTGATGTGGACACATCTCAAAGCCAAAAGTAGCTCTGCTGACCTACTGAAGGAATAACGTGCTTTAATATGATTATGATGATTATTTTTTATGGCTTAATATACCTTTTCCTCCTTTTTTTCAGTCAAATACTATGTCCTTTAAGCCAAATAATACTGCATGTTGAATTACATCTGTGTCTCTGATTTGCAGAATCAGATTGGATTCACACTGGTATACGATTTGTATAAAAGTTTGGCTGTCTGGAGTTTTTCATCTTAGGAATAAGTAAGGGCTGCTTATTAGCATCTTTATGGTTTTCATACAGTCTACTCCTCTTGGGCAAAATAGAGCAACCCTACAAAGAGTGGTTCCCAGATTTATTTGATTCCAGTGCAGAACACACCTAATAGAGGAAAACAAAAAGGATATTCTCATGTCCTGGGATACATTGCATTCATGATTCCACATTCCCTTCTCTGGGAGCCTCTTTCTGCCCTGCTCTTGAAAGACTGTGCTAGCTTTCAGATGGATGCTGCTCATAGCTCAATGGTATTCCAGTGCCTAAATATAGGTGTCTGGCATGATTATAGATACCCTAAGGTATGGGAGCTATTCACAGAGACTGGCAGATATGACATAGCACATACATAACATCCACAGCTTTAATGTCTTCTGCTGAAGCAAAGATCAAAACTGTAGTATCTAAATCAACCGAATCTTATGTAGTACAATGTCCCATGTAATAACAATGTAAAACAAACATCTTGC